CTACGAAGTACTTCGTAGTATAGTCTCGTAATTAGTTGTGTGTGTGTGTGTGTGTGGGGGGGGGGGGGATAAGTGATACCCATAATTAAGCGGAAGCTGTCCAATTAAATGGTTAACTTGTCATCATATCGCTAGTAGAAGTTAGTGCTTTTATTACTACTGGCTGAGTGTTGTGCAGTTGCTTGGTTTGAGTAATTCTGGGCTTATAGATAGGAGTAACTATAATTGAATCCCAAAAACAAGAGTTTGGCAACGTTAAAATGGATGAACTTTAGTTGCTGGCTGCTGATGAGCTTGAAGATAGAGTGATTTTGTTTTTGGGTTTGACTAAATAGTGTCAACATGAATGATCTATCAGATAAGGATTCTGGAGTAGACTAAGTGGGAGGAGAGTTTATGTATGTTCCAGAAATGCCTTTGGTTCTTCGAGCATTCTGTGGCACAAAATCCATCATTGGCAAAAAGGTTATTTGGTTTTGCCATTTTGGGCTTTGCTCTAAAAGAAACTACTGCATTGTTACCCCTATGATGGTGTAACTGACCTTATCCTTATTTCAAGCGAGGAAAGAAGGTTGTCGTTTCATTTAACCATCTTTCTGAAACAATGCTTTTGCTATGATACTGGAAAAATCAACTCATGTTTCCAGTCTATTTGCACTATGAAGTTGTATTCCATCAGGATCCGTTGCTTGGTTCTAATTGCACATTCTTGTGATGCTGGACTTAATATGTTTGACAATGCTATTTGGCCTTTGATCTTGTTAAGAAAATGAACCTTGGACCTAACTAAACTCCAAATACAGTTCAAATGGTGAGGATTTTCCTAGAAAGTATTAGGAAATTACAATCTACAAACTTAACAGATGTGGAATTCTGACATGTCTTTTCGAGTTGTTCATGCTGAGATCCCTATTAGTGGTGCAAGTGTCATCATGATTTTGATCAAAAAATATCTGTGTTTTTAAATCTTTTATATTAAGCAACTCTACCTTTTCAAGTAGTGATCTCGACTGATATTACATCAGCCAAAGTTTCCAGATGCCATTTGCTGTGTGCATCCTCTTGTGGGTTGGGCCCGCTAACTCACAGGCATTTTCTCGATCATCTAAAAATATTTTCTTCTTCTTGCACTTTGGCTAGTTCTTTTTCCATTTTGCTTGTACCTCCTAGACAAAGTACTGGAGTCTATATTCTGCTCTGATTCTTTCTTTCTTCGTTCTGCAGGTTTAAGAAAGTTGGTAGGCTCAAGTTGAGGCGGTTATCATGGCACATTTACTTTCTACCACTTGTTCTTTAGATGTCTCTTCCAGCAACAAGATGCATTTCAAGTCAATTAACCAATGTTCTACTCCTATTCCAACATCTTTTAATATGGGAATTTCCTTCTCACCTTTGAAAAAGCTAAGCTCGCAAAGGAAAAAGTCTGCACAATATGTGGTCAGAGCTTCAGCTGTTTCTATGAGCCAAGAAGCCACAAATCAGAACGACTCAGGCTCTCAACAGAGCACTGATGCAGCTTCCACTAGAAAGAAGGTCATGGTTATTGGCGGTGATGGCTATTGTGGCTGGGCTACTGCTCTCCACCTATCCAACAAGGGTTATGAAGTTGCCATTGTTGACAACCTTATTCGTCGCCTATTTGACCACCAGCTTGGTCTAGATTCTCTAACACCCATCTCATCTATCCATAACCGCATTAGGCGTTGGAAATCTCTGACAGGAAAAGACATTCAACTGTTTGTTGGTGATATATGTGACTTTGATTTCTTGGCAGAAGCCTTCAAATCCTTTGAACCTGATGCTGTTGTCCACTTTGGAGAGCAGCGTTCTGCTCCTTATTCTATGATTGATCGGTCGAGAGCTGTTTTTACCCAACATAATAATGTGATAGGGACACTTAATGTACTTTTTGCCATAAAGGAGTTTAGGGAAGAGTGTCATTTGGTCAAACTCGGGACAATGGGAGAATACGGGACCCCTAACATAGATATTGAAGAAGGTTTTATAACTATCACTCATAATGGAAGAACAGATACTCTTCCATATCCCAAACAGGCAAGCTCTTTCTATCATTTGAGTAAAGTCCATGATTCCCACAACATAGCTTTTACTTGCAAGGCGTGGGGAATCAGAGCTACCGACCTGAACCAGGGAGTTGTGTATGGGGTGAGGACTGACGAAACTGCAATGCATGAAGATCTGGTCAACAGACTTGATTATGATGCTGTATTTGGAACTGCATTAAATCGGTTCTGTGTTCAGGCTGCTGTTGGACATCCACTTACAGTATACGGTAAAGGAGGGCAGGTACGAACTTCCTCTCATTCCATGTAGTACTACACTTTAACGAATAACCAACTAATACTATTGAAGAAATCTTGAGTTCTATACTCAGATCCTCAAGTGAAATTTCTTTTCTAGCTCTCTTCAAATGCAGAAATAAAGATCTACTTTGAAAATGGATCACAAAATGTTCACTTGATGTAAATTGCTAATCCATCTCATGCTTTTGTAATTGTTCTGTAAGACCAACTTACAAAAGAATTGTTCTTTGGACCATAAACGGGGTGAACTTCAATAATCAGTGACATGATCTGTACAGACTACTTTGTCATGATCTCATCTAAAGAGAGCTAAGTAGCTAGTCATTTGTTCATTGCCGAAGACTAGCGTATGATAAGGATATAGGGACTGAGAAACGTTCTATGTAGGAAATGCTCAAAATGCTGAACTGTAGACCTATTTACCTTATCCACAAAAAAGAAATGCTGAACTGCAGACCTATTTACCTTATCCAAAAAAGAAATGCTGAACTGTAAACCTATTTTGCATACAGTCTGCCCCGAGTCCCTGACTGCTAAATACAAGCTGACATATCCTACCTTCCTCTTGCTTTTTTTAATTCAAATAGCAAAAACCATGGATGCTTCTGTAAAATTGAAGATTGTTGCTGGGAATTGAAACTGTCAAGAATTGACTGACCTCACTTCATATAATGTATCTAACACAATTATCCTGGAAAACAAAAAGTGGAAAGAAGGAGCCAGTCTGGTCACTAGGAAAATGATAAAAGGTGAAATTTAATAGGCTTCTTTATTTTGGATCAGAAAGAAAATTGAGGGTTGATTTTCTTTATTCATTGACACGCTTACTGTTTGTATTTATTTTGTGTGTGTCTTGACCAATTACCTCCTGACCGATAAGTCAGTAACCATTTCATAGTATTCCTGGCTTTTCTAATGTATGTTTTTGCGTCTTGCAGACCAGGGGATATTTAGATATTAGAGATACAGTTCAATGTGTTGAGATTGCAATTGCCAATCCAGCAAACCCAGGAGAGTTCCGTGTTTTCAATCAATTCACAGAGCAGTTTTCAGTAAATGAGCTTGCAGCCCTTGTCACAAAAGCAGGGGAAAAGCTTGGCCTTGAGGTGAAGACCATATCGGTACCCAATCCAAGAGTAGAGGCAGAGGAACACTACTACAATGCCAAACATACTAAACTAATTGAGCTGGGCCTACAACCCCACCTCCTTTCTGATTCTCTTCTTGACTCACTACTGAACTTTGCTGTTCAATATAAGGATCGTGTCGATACAAAGCAGATAATGCCTAGTGTTTCTTGGAAAAAAATTGGGGCGAAGCCAAAGACTGTTGCAGCATAAATCACTAAGACAAACTTTAAAGACGAGAGGCCTAGAGTTTCCATCTGCCATTTTGAATAGGAGCTATAATATTTTTATGAACCGTTACACCTTCTTGGTTCGAGTTTTAGGGAATGTATTTTTTGTATTTGGAGCTGGTAGAGTTGTGGGTGTAAAAATTGTACGACCAAATGCTTGGGGTTTTGATGACCAGTTTCAAGACTTATATGCAAACTTTGGGTTATGAATTACTTGTCCAAGTTAGTTTTGGCTACATAGAGTGCTCCCAATCATCCCATATCGTTAATTTGTCATTTTGGCAGATGTATCCAGTAACTTTTTGGCTTGCGTAGCGACTGAAGAGAGAAGTTTCCTATAGTCTAAAAATTCCAGAGGACATTGTCTTAGGTTTGGAGATGAATGATTTATTGGCTTGTAAAATCAAAATGTTCAAGCAAAGAAGTCAAATTTTTTTGTAACTTGTCTAAGATGCTGAAGTCATGAGATGATTAGGACCTTCTTGTGAAGCCTTTGACTGTATTAATGCCGGAAACTAAGCAAAAAGTTGCATAACAGAAACTCAGCATAATCTGTGCTGCTCTGACTTTCACAACACCACAGAAAATGAACAAAAAGCAATTTGAATGCATAATTTAGCTACATGCATAAATCAATGTTCACCATGTTTCATATGAAATTCTACGGTAAATTAAGTTTGTGAGTCTTTACAAACTTGTTTTTAGTTTTATGACCCTTATCTCTTTTTTTTACACACGACAGATTTACTTTTACACATAAGAGGTCTATATTACACATAAGATATCTAAAAAGGACACTTTCTTAATTTCTACATTGTAAATGGCCATGAAGGCCCATTTCCCCGAAGGGAGCTTCTTCCCAAGAAAACATAGAAAAGACGAAAAGAACCGAGTACTATAGCCATATCCTTTTCTTGTTTTCTTCCCCACCCTATGTGGTATCCATACATTCTCATATACTACTAACCTTCCTGCAATTCCCACTTTGAACTGAGTTTTGGCATTCGGTCCGTCAAAACTTTCTTTCACTAATGATGAGATAAAGGTCAAAGCAGTGCCTATGTTCGCGAACAAGCTATTTCACTGTCTACTTGGTGTTGTTGGTAAACGGTAAACTTGTATGCAGCACAGGACATTGGATCAGAATCGTGAATGTATATATCCACTAGTTCTTTTGCATGACTCAGATGGCATAGCCATGTAATCTCCGCAAAGACCCTCTTTCACAAAGGCCACCACAACTGAAGCCAACTCATCTTGATGCATGGTGAATTCATGATCAGCACCTTCGATAATGTGTAATTTATGATTTGGTATATTCTTGGCAAATTCCATTGCATCTTCAACTGGCACCATTTCGTCCACTGTACCATGGATTGTCAACACCCTGTATATTAATCCAGCAGGTTTAGTACATAGTTGTCAAGTTTTAAACAAGTTGTCATTCACAAGAAAAAGTGGCCTCATATTGAGACATGCACATAATGTGCACAGACAACGAATTAACGCCCAACTGTTGAAAAGGATGTATCATACAGTGAGATATGACGTGAATACTTAAGAATCACCCAGTTATAATCAATATCAATGCCTGACCTGCAGCTTTTGGGGATACTTTGACATGCTCCACCAGTATCAGTTGTAAGACGGTCCATCAAGCTTTCCTCAGTGACACGATACTCTAACCTTCCTGCAAATATCAAGAGATGGCAGTGTGGAGGGTTAACAACTGAAGGCAACCTGCCTGCTCACCTGTTTTGGTGCACATAGCATGAAAGAAATAGAAGACTCTGAAATTGCAAGAACAACGCGGAAAGCATAAAAAGAGTATTTTTGGTGTAAAGGAGAGAATTAGAATATTGGATAAGGGTCAAATATACCCCTCTACTATTCGAAATAGTTTAAATACACCCTCCATTTGAGTATTCATCCAATTGTACCCCTACCGTCATACTATTGCACTAATTTGCCCCTAACTTAAACGGAGGGACACGTGGCAAACTCAGAATCAAATAACCCACTTACAATTTTAATACCTGATTTCTTAACCCACCCGTTAATTTAATCCATAAACGACCCGTCAAATCTCTTTATTTTGATTTTCCTTTCATTTTCTTTCTTTTTTCCTTTACACCCTTCTCTTTCTTCTTTATCAAAACACCCTGCCACCTCCTTCACCTGAGCTTACACCCAATTCAAATCAAATTTCGAGTCCAACGGCCTCCAAAATATAACAATGCAGCTCTTTGCCATAGTGCCACTCTGTACCAGTTCTTCTTCACCTCTCCACACAAAGAAAGAAGCGTTGAAACTGTAAATGCATCAAACTTCCAGCCTTGAAATTGCATATCCTTCACAAAATCCCATATTTTAGCATCTAAAACTCTCTTTTACACCCATATACACTTAAATTAGAACATTAAAAATGAAACATTCCTATACGGCATTCCATCTCCTACATATTATTTGACAGCATTTTGGTGTTCTATTGATGAAATTGTTTGCCATCAAAAAAGAAAGTTCGTCACTTACAAGGTGCATACTCCCATTACAAAGCAACCACAAATTTTTCCAGGTCCACAAGTAAAGGCAAGCCACCACAAGGATAATGCAACTGGCAGGTCAAACTAGTTAGTGGCAGAGCAGCATTGCTCACTACTTTCCTACTCAAAGTCCTTCTAATTCAGATTCTAATGCTACACTTGATTGAACAGGTGCCTGTGATACGCACATGGACCAGCATACCCTGCACATGACCCACAAACATGCTTGGCAAATAGGCGCACCACTGCTTTGCACCTGCCAGTCTGATAAGCATGCACTTGCCATTGCGCACAACTGCCCTTGTAATTATTGCAAGTTGACTATTTCAAGCATAGCACTATGTCATGCTCATCAACCAAACTTGTGCTGCACCTCACATTTGCCGCCCATGTCTGGTCTAATCAGCTGTACCATATTCCGAAGTGATATTCATCAGCTAAACCAGCCACACCATGTGAGACATGTCATCTAACCATGTCCACTACCTCCCTAGGTGGTTTATTACTATTATCCATTGAAATGCATAGAAGTGTGAACCGTCCAATATTCCAGACTATAGAACATCCAGACCCAAAAATGGGACAGAAATATGTCGATTATGAAGCACAAACGGAAAAGAAGGCTATTAAGCATACCTTTTCTATTTCTAACATCAATAAAACCATCCTGCTTTATCTTTTCTTTAAAGTCTCTGCCCAAGCGGCCCTCTATCCCTCTCTCAAGATTGAAGCGGCCAGATATATTAATGACAGTTTGTACATCCTTGTACCTCGAAGCATACAAGAGCACAGCATTTCCTCCTGTAGGTAATTTATCACGAAAAAAACACTTTCAGCAGGAACACTAGCAGCGATACAATTTCCCGGGAAATAAGTTCGAGATATGGTTATTGAATCTAAATTAAGCTGCAGAATGTGTTGATTCTAGAAAGTGGATACAAGACAAACTGTGGGATAATATGATACTCTCTTTCCTTGTTAATTTGATCTTAGCCTGAGAGATCAATAGAGCACTATCATGACAACTCAAAATATTCGTGCAACTCTTTTTTTGTTTTTGATGACCGAGAAATCCGTCTGCGGCCGATCCTTTGGACCAACCGCAGCCTTCGAAACTCGGTGGATAATGGGCCAGCCCCTCTACCCTTCTCCACTTAAATAACAGGCTTTGCTTTGCATGGTGTGAGGTCTTGAACCTGTGACCTAAGACACAAATCCACCACCCTTTGCCACTTGAGCTAGGCCCTGGGGGCTTCGTGCAACTCTTACCAAAACAATTTATGTAGAATATGGACAAGAGAAAATATCATCATAGACATCAATGGTTATCAGGACCATATATTGCTGGGTAGAACATGTGGGCTGTCAACATTTACTGTTAGTTGTTAAAGTTAAATTTAAACATAAAGGTAAATTCAGAATTGCTAAATCAGTGATCATAATTGATTCTAACGGAGAAATATTTACTTAGATAGGAAATCCTTCTTCAATGTTTGAAAAGCTCATATTGGAATAACAATATTGGAAAGTTGAGTTTAAACATTAAATTTTCAAATCAAGCCAATGCTTGCAGATGACGTAATGAGCAAAATTAACCTACAAACAAAGAAAGGGTATCCATCTTCATGCACTGCATAAGTAGTTACAGCCTCTCCCTAAACTAAAAGACAAAGCAGCAGATTCAAGAAAAATTGCAAGGACAAAATGTAAATATCAATTGTGAAAGCTTCAAGCATGATAAGCGTAATGTCACAAGAAAACTTCGATCTATCAATGTCAAATCAAACAACAGCAAAATTAGCATTGCTACTACTCCAGGAAAACATATGTTAGTAGACTGCATGTACTATGCCAGTATGGTGGTAGTGTCCCTTGAGCTAGAGAACTAGAAAGGGGGAAAGGGAAGGAGAAACACATAAATTGGATCACACATAAATTGGCTTTCAAAGGCTATACCTTTGCTATGACCAACTATTGCTGCTATGAAACGTTTCTCCTCATGAAAGTGCTCAACTATGGCACGAAGATCATCAGCTTCTCTACGGTAGTTACCATACTGAAAGGAACCTTCGCTTTCACTGACACCAAAAATAAAGTGACTCTTCAGTAGTTCATTTCAAGTGTTTTTTCCTGTCTTCATAAAATTTACAAATTAGAAATTTATCATCTCTATATAGAGAATATAATGCTATGAGTAACATAAGTCAAGTCAAGATCCTGAGAATAATTGAAGAGAAGACTTATTTGACAGCACCCTATCTCTAAGATTCCAATTTAACAAGCTGGAAAGAGCTAGTTGCGATTAAAGTTAAGAGGATCAACTACGCTACTTGAAGACCAATATAATGTATCTTTCACAAAACTATATGAGCAAAGTAATTGAGCAGCTCATATTACTTGCATGCGAAAAGGAAAAGACAAAAAGAGAGAAAAAATTTATGAAACTTAAATAAATGTATTTTGGGTCCATACGCTTATGCAGCAGCAATCCAGATGCATATATATTTAGTTCCTCAATAACCTAACAAATGTTTACGTTTATAAGAACAGATACACCTAGTAGATTTTCCTCAGCTTTATAAAAAGGCGAGGCGGGATGCATCTTTATTCAATAATCCTTTCTACATTGAGTAAATCTAAGTTGGCAGATCAAGAGTAGGAGGAGAATAAAGTTCACCGGTTGCCCTCCCTTT